CTATTGTAATATACTAAAGGAGGTCCTTAATAAACCGTAAAATCTTCTTCATCCTACGAAAAAATTGGGAAAATCACGATTAGGAAAAAATGGAAAATCACAGCAGATACTATTTTGTACCCTGAAATCTATTCATGAGAACCAGGATTGTAGAAATTGAATTCAAAACCATTGTACTGTAAATAAATGCATATAAAATACAAATATTATGTCTAAAGATTTTAAAATTTTTCTTCGATACTTCCTATCATCATGTTTAATTGAATAATGAAATCAATTTTCCCATTTTAAAATTTAACTAGGATTGTAATCTTGAAAATAGTTACTCTCCCTTGAATCCTGGCACCACTTCACAAACATTTTCTTCGAAAAGTAGTTTTCCCTCTTAACAGAATGTTAAATTGAAAATTGTATTTCCACAATGACATCTACCCAAGGGTTGGTCGTTTGGATGGTCGTTCGAACAATCAGTTGATCATTCATTAAATTTGCATGAATGACTAAAAGCCTTGGTCTGGGGCCATTATCATTGTCATCATCATCATCGTCGTTGTCGCTGTCGTCGTCTGCATTAGCTTCATGCATTCGAACGAAAACAAAGCATATAAGTAAGGTTAACAAAAAGAAACAACAACGATGACCATAACAACAACAACAACAAAAAGTAAATTACCACATAAATGAATGGCAAATGATTTGACAGTAAAGGGTTAAGCACAGTTACCAATGTTTGTTGTAATAGTTTTTTTCATTTTTCTTTCTTTGTTTGTATCCTCTGCTCCTTTTGTTTATCTTTTGACCAAGGACTACCGCCCATTGTGTGGTCAAACTGTTTACAACATTGTGACATTTATACCCAGCATTAAAAAACACACACACATACGTGCATACTCTCCAACTTATTTGTCGAATAGGGATTTTCTTTTCAAGTTTAGGTTTTTCGTTTCCAGAAAACCTTTAGTCCTTTTCGACTCATTGCAATAATTTGCAAAGAATCGAAAATTCACTCGAAATCCTTTGAATTGTGTGAAAAGTTAAAAATTAATTTAAACACCATAACCGAACTGAAATGTTCAATTTTGAGGCATTTGCATAATCTATTATTTGGGTCAAATGAATGTCTAAATCCATGTAATCAACAATTTGAAATTGAAATGCGAATGTGTGTGTGGCAGTTAAACAGAGAGATAGAGGAAGAGCATTAAATATTTAAGTTTTGTGGCAGAAATTTGTGTTGTGTGAATTTATTTAAAGGGTTAATTTTTGGTGAACTTCTTGGAAATCTTTAAGACTGTTATAAAGGCCTAACATTTTGAACTTTTAAGAACAATTTGAGATTTTCATTGTTATTTATGTAATTATGATTTATATAAAACTATGCCAAATATATATTCTTTGTAAAGCGAAATTAACCAAAGCTTCTATATAAGTTTATATGTGTATTACGAATTGATTAAAATGTTAGAAATACGTTTTCCACAAAAGTAGGACATTTTTACCACGTAATCATAGTCTTTATATAAAACAAAATTGAACCAGTAAAGAAAGTCCTAAAGTCGGGCGGGGCCTACTTTATGATACCATATACCACTTCGCTAATTTTGTAGAGCTCCACATAACAATTAAAAGATTTTATGGGAGAATTTAATCATACACGCTATGATTATAATTATAATTTAAAGTTCAAAGGACTTGTAAATTCTTTTAAATTCGGACTTGTATTGCCCATTTGGTGCACAATTAATTTGAAATTAGATAAAGATATATATGGAGCTATATATATCTCGATAAAATTTGGCAAAGATATTTCTGAGCTGTATTTGATATATTTCCCTGAATATCGTTGTTACGGAGTGCATATTACGGATGTGAGTTACAAAAACAACAAATCGGATGGACAATATATATGGGAGCTATAGCTATATCTGAACCGATCTTCACCAAATTTGCCATACTACCTTCTAGACTCAATTCGTTCGCATGTGGCAAATTCCATCCCATTTGGACAAATATTAGACGTTTGGTGTACCATATATCTAAATCTGAACCGATCTCGATGAAATTTAGCAAAGGTATTTCTGAGCTGTATTTGATATATTTCCCCAAATATTGTTGTTACAAAGTGCATATTACGGCTGCGGAGGACAAAAATAACAAATCGGATGAACAATATATGTGGGATATATAGCTATATCTGAACCGATTTCGATCAATTTTGGCATACTTATTTTCAGGCCTAATTCGGTTGTATGTGCAAAATTCCATACTATTCGGACTGATATTACACGTTTGGTGCACAATAAAAGTCAAATCAGATGAAGATATATATGGGAGCTATATCTAAATTTTTAAGGATTATCTCCAATTTCAATAGGGTTCGTCCTTGGGCCAAACAAATGTTGTTGGAAAATTTCATCTCAATCGGATAATAAATGTGACCAGCATTTTGTTCATAAGAATACATGCACAGACGGACGGACAGACGGACTGACATGCATAAATCAACTCAGAAAGTGATTCTATTGAGATCCTCAAAAGTAACTATGGGTCTATCTCGCTTCCTTCTCCATGTTACAAACAAATGCACAAAGACATAATACCCTTACCACTGAGTGGTGTAGTGTATAAAAAAAGTAAGTAAAGGCTATAGTCGTGCTGGGTCGACCATGATACCCTACAACAATACAATATGTTGCAAATCGAATTTAAAAGATTACGCTTTTGAAATAATCTCATAGAGCTCCTAGATGTTACCCTTAGCTTTTTGATCGAGGGCATTTGTCCAATATTTACGCCCTCCGTCGTCTTGTTAGGTATTCAATACAATTTCATATGAAAGTTGTGGCCCATTGTACAGCTAAATATAATCCAATGGTCATACAAAATGCTAGACTTGTTCTGTGTGGATTAGTTTTTAATTTTAAAATATTCACTTTTTATACCCTCCACCATAGTATGAAGGGTATATTAAGTTTGTAATTCCGTTTGTAACACCTCGAAATATACATTTTGGAAAAAACAGTCAATGATCAGCATCAAATCTTATGTCGATTTAGCGATGTCCGCGCGCCTCTCCGTCTGTGGAAATCACTCTAGTTTCCGAACGAATTGAAATAGGTTGATTAAATTTTACTCAAATATGTATTTTGTCTGCAATACTTTTGATATTAAAAATGGGCTATCTAGGTCCACGCTTAGGAATAGTCCCCATATAACTGTACCTCCCTTCATTTGGTATATTGATGATTTTAGCGACATTATTCTCCGGAATTGTTTCAAATTTCGTATTTGCACTTAGTAATGGGTACTATAGCCAGTGATATAAAATTGTCTATGCAGATGCACCATTCCGAATTGATGAGAATTGTGAAAATTAGTCCAGACGGTCTTGACTTATAAACCGAATAACTAAGATCTATTTTTTTTAAATATATATTGTACCTATTTTGCTATATATCCTATACTTAGGCTGTAATGGTCAAAAGTGATCTTTTAATATATTTGTGATTTGGCCGGAATTAAAAATAGTCGCGATTTAGTGGAAATGTTCATTTTTTTAAATAAAAGTTATGGTTTACTTTACCCGCTAAATATTATCCGGTGACTGCATAAATTGGTAGGCTTCTGCCCAGCCCTAAACTCCAACTCCATCCAAAATTCCGATTGGTTTATAATTGTGGCCTGTAGAGCAGCAGCAACAGCAAAACCAGGAACATTTTCTGTTTTTTATCCATTTCAACCACTAAATATTTTGCGATGATTTCCAAAAACAAAAAGTTTTTATTCTGACCCTTATCCCACCTCCATTTTGAATTTTGTGAGGATCGGGCCATAATTGCGATCTGTAGCTTGACTACAATTTAACATGGACGAACATACAAAGCTAGATCGACTAAGCTCGGCGAGATAAGAAGATCCATGTATGGTTTCCTATGCCGGGGAACAATATTTCGAGGTATAACATAATTTTTGCCCAATCAAACGTCTAATACCCCCAACACATAGTGTTGTGGGGTATAAATATTCTTAAAAAAAATATTTTTAGTTTGAGTTCCTTTAAAATTATGTCGTAATATCCATAATTTTCGTCCCAGGATAATATTCTTAAAAAATAAGAAACGCCTCTAATATTTGAAAATATATTTAGATGGACCTTTTTAAAAAATTCTAAATGTGTGTATTTAAAAAATCCACGATTCTGAACCAGGAAGTGAAAGAGTGGGTCTCGTTTACACACTAGTTTTAAAATTGGCAGAAATCACTTCACTTCACTTTCACTTGCATAATGTTAGTTATTATTTTAATGTTTAAATTTCTGTAACGAGGTAACAATAGGACTTGCCAAATAGTCAAGATTCTCACCCAAATAGATGTGAAACAATTATTACATTGTGCCAGAAGAAGGGGACCGGTATATCGGTCATTGATTTCTACGAGGGATATATTTTTCTGAATTTTTAGGCGGAGCTACAAAAAGAGTGCATACGCCCCAGTTAGACAGACAAACGGACATCCAAAGGAACGGGCATGCCTAGTTCGGCTTCGAATGTCCGGCAATAGATTAAGTCCAAGGAGACACGGGGTCTACAACCGTTGCCTTAATTTGTAACTTTTGTGCATATCAAACAATATATACCATCTGTCGCAAAAGAATGACAGTCTGACGTTAGCATTTAATATATAAAAAATATACATAGTAAAAAAAATCCACTGACATATTTTAGCCTTTAATTTTCATATCGACAGATAACCAAACAATGTGAAGGGAACCATATTTATTCAAACATCAATAGCGCATTGTGTATTACAGACTAAATGAAAAAAATCTGTCAGCTGTTTATTATAACAGTAAAGTAGGAAGTTCCGATCATACACGTGTATCATGGAACTGTATTTTAACAATATGACAATACCAAAAAATCGCTTTCAAATCAAAGGTATTGTGAATGGAAATTTTGATTTTATTCTTTACAAGGGTTTCAATATATCAGTATTGCTATAAATACTGCAATTTTAACTACGAATATTATCAGTATCTCTACAGTTCCTTAAAACATCTTAAGAAATTAAAAATAAAACGAAATGCTTAAAGTCATTTGCATTTTTGGTAAGTTCCTTAAATATTAGATATTGCGAATATATCTATAAAAAGGATATTTTTCAATAAATAGCCCTCGTCCTTGTGATGACTTGTGAGGCTCAAAGATGTCGCCCGGTTTGTAAACCTAAAGTTCCTAGTCCAGCCATTTGTGCTGCTGATAATCATCAGAAAGAGTGCTTCCGTATGAGCCAATGTCAGTTGGATGAAGAGAATTGTCGTCGTCGGGCTGCCAAACGACCAAGTGAGGAAAAATATTATATCCTTAGGATATAGAAATTATAATGTTAATAATATTTTGTTTTTAGCCATTTCCAATGTCGATCCGATACGTTGCCGTAACATAAAGTCACCAAATGGCAAGGGTAAATGTGCCAGCCCATCGCGCAAACCACGCTCCACCAAACCGGATTGTAACCGGCTAAAGTGTCGTAATCCTAGCAAGGTCTTGAGATGTTATCGCTGCAAAAAGAATATGTGTCAATTGTTGACTGCCTGTCAGCTGGAACGTGTTAACTGTCTACGTGGCCGTTCAAATCGTTTAACTTGGACTGATACCCGTCGTTGTGCCGGCATGAAGGCTGGACAAAAATTGCAAAGATGTAAGGCTATTCGTAAAAAGAGTGGATAAGCTCTTGTGACACAGGAGTCGTTTTAGAGGACTACTTAATGAATTTTTTCGACGCATTTTCTCGATTCTTTTCTAAATTTCGAAAAGTTCATAAAATTGATAAATAAATAAAAAATTTTTCTTGGAACTAAAAAAAGTGGGAATTTTTATAATCTGAATTTTTCAAAATATTTCAAGTGGAACTGTAGTGGAATTCTGAAATTCATTTTCTGACTTAACGAAAAAAATTCGGTAAAATTCAAATGCTTATAACTTCGGTAATTAGCGAAATTTGTCGGAAAGCTAGCCCAGAAATTAAAGTAGTTGCTAAGGCCAACCGATAGATATCAATTTTGTTAACTCTTTTTTCTTTTATATCAAAATTTTGCGTTTGAAAGTTACCGATTTTTGTCGGTAACTCAAAAAAAAAAATGAGTTAGAGAATCTCACTACAGATATCTTTTTTATGCTGGAAAGTTTTGTACTAAGAGTAATATATGCCAGTATAAATAACGTCCGGACAACACAGTTGAGGATCCAACCGTAAAACTTTGCATTGGGGTCACCCTTGTCGCGAAAGGGATCATTAAGATGGGATTATTGGAAATTCGAGCTAAATAGTACGTAAAGTAAAATATTTTTTTCGGCTATAACGTAGATTTTTTTAAACTATTTTTAAAAAAATTTTCAGAGAAAGATAATTTACAAACATTAATATGAGGGATATTTACAAAAGAAGACATTTTTAGAAAGAGTCATAAACTTGAAATGTTTAGAATATTATTAAAATGACTTGCCTAGCCAAAATCTTGGATTTTATATAAAAATATTTTGATAGGGTCTAATTTAGCCGAAATCCTGTATTTTTAATGACATTTCTAAAATGACATGTTTAGCTTAAAATGTGGATTAATCAAAGTATTTTTTATACCCTCAACCATGTGGCTAATATCTTTTGATATGGCCAAAACATGGCTCATTTCTTTGAAACAAACCCGTTTCAGGATATTTGGAGTCGATGTAGGGGTGTCAAATCATTCGTCTGTCTGTCTGGCTGCACAATAACTCTCGAAAGGAGTATTCGATTTGATCCAAACTTGGTACATCGTTATTTATTGCCTGACTTAGATTGAGTTCGGAGATAGGCGATATCGGTCCACTCCTTCTGGTACCTCCCTCACAAAAGGTTGAAATTTATAAAATGTGATGTTTAAGTCCGATTGTCTTCATATTACACACATCGCATTATTTTTATTAACCCAAGATCTGGTGTGAAGGTGGGCCCAACTCAACTCAATATCTTTTCTAAAGATGGGCCATTCCTTCTGGTACCTCCCAAAGGGTCAAAATTTTGAATAAACAAAACGATTATAAAATCCGAAATAAGTATACGGTTCTATTCATATTTCAAAGATCCTGTTATTTCTACTTAGACAAGATTTGCTGTGAAGATGGGATATATTGACCCACTCCTTCTGATGCCACCCCCTCAAATGGTTACATTTTTTAACATCCGATTCCATTCAGACTTGGTACATCTCAATATTTCCATCAACACAAGATCTGCTATAAAGATGGTAGATATCAAACCATTTCTTCTGGTACCTCATAGGGTTCACGATTTTGAGAAACAAAACCCTCAAAGAAAGCGAAATAAGCATTCAAGTCTCTTTTAATTTCACACAGACAAATATTTTTGCTAACACAAGATCTATTGTGAAGATGATATATATGTGCGAACCTCTTCTGGTACCTCACCCATAAAGGGTCACAATTGTCAATACTTTTATCTGTCATAACTTGCGAAACAAGTCAGAGATTCTTTACAGCTTGATATATATCCGATTTCCTTGCAATTTTGCCCATGCCAATATTTTTATCTGTATTAGTTGAAGTATGAAAATGGAATACCTCAGTCGACTGTATCTGGTACCTCAGGCACATTTTAACATTTTCTAAAAATTAGCACATATCTCACATAAAGTGAAGTAACCAATATAATTCAAAACTTGGTACGTGGCAATATTTATATCATCTTTATTTAGGTCTATATATTGGCCCATTCCTTCGGAACATACTCCATAGAGGGTCAACAATTTGAATAATCATAATAGAAGTCAAAATATATAATAATCGAACATTGGCTGCACAACCGAATAATACTTTTTAACTTTTTTAGGAATATTTTTAGAAGGACTTTCTGAGCCATAAACGAGAATTTTTTAAAGATTATTTCTAAAATGACTATTTGACCGATAAACCTAGATTTTTAGAAATATTTTTGAATCTAATTTCTGTACAAAAAGTGCAAAAGAAGCTAAGTTCGGCCGGGCCGAACTTTTTATAACCTCCACCATTTGGAAGAACTTGAAAAAATAAAAAATAAAACCGTGTTCCGAACTTCCGGATATCGGGAGGGTAATGTACTCACAAGGAATCCTTTTTTTGGATTTTAAGACAATTCCGTTGAAAAATGTGGCTAAATCATCAAAATACCAAATATGGGGGATACCTTTATATATGGGCTATACGATATCGAGGACCTATATAGACAATGTGTAGAATTTCAGACAAGTCCGTTGAAAAATGTGGCTTAAATCATAAAAATACCAGGGGGTTTACAGTTATATGAGGCCTATACGATATCGTGGACCGATATAGCCCATCTTCGAACTTGACCTGCCTCCAAACAAAAGACAGATCTGGGCAAAATGTTAGCTTCCTATGTTAATTCGTGCTTTGTTGGGTCTAAAATTATTATTTCAATGGGTTACAAATGGAATAACGAACTTAATCTACCCTCCATACTATGTATGGTGGTGGGTATAAAAAAGTACACAACTGTCATCATTATTGGCATAAGAAGAATGTGTAGATCTTAAAAAGTAAATTTTACTATGATGGTAAATCTCGATGTTACGTCGGATTTTGTTATTAAGTCGAAATTTAGAAAAAAAGAGGATTGATCCAAATTCAGAGGGCTCTTGTGATTAAATATTATTACCCCTAGATAATCACAACCGGAATCGTGTCGTTGACGCTGTTCCAACAATATACTAGAGAAATACATAACCACTTTATGGAAATTGTATTTCACATAGTGTTTTCTTCCCCAAAAGTATTTGAATTCCCACAATCATTTTTTAATAATTTACAAAATTTAGTAAAAAAAACAAACTTTTCTCTTTAGCAGAAAAAAAAACAAACGAAAACAAAATCCATTTATTGCAACCTGTTTCTCTTCCAAATCGTTTCTGCCCTTTGTTAACGCCTACACAGCCAGCCATCCTTTCCATTCCACGTTACAAGAATCGTCCTCTATTACGAACAAATGTATCAAATTGACTACTATTTCCATCTGTTACCACTTAACAAATAGAACTCGTTCTCATATTTAACCATATTTGAACATTTTTAATGGCTGGTCGTCGGTTGAACGGTCGTCGGCTGAGCCAGGCGGCCAACTCTAAAGGGAATATTTTTTATGGCAATTGCACGTGCTGCAAATGCTATCCACCCTCCCATAATCTACTTGTGGTGCATGCATGACGGGCACACGGCATTCCGTATTTTCCATTGAGACGGTGGAATATTCAACGATTTTGTCTGTATTTTTGTATTTTATTTGAAAAGTAAAGAATGAAAATGGTTAAAAATAGTTGATTAAAGAAGAATAGCTAATACCCTATAGCTGTAGAAAATCTGATTTAAGTTATTTTTATTATATATATTTATTAATTATTGTTTTATACCCTCCACCATACATAGCATCATTCTGTTTGTAACTCATCGAAATTATCATTTTAGACCCATCAAAGTATATATATTCTTGATCAGCGTAAAATTCTAAGACGACTTAGCCCTGTCCTTCCGTCTGTCCGTCTGTTATAATCACGTTAAAATTTTGCACAGATCTCTCTTTTGTCTGCAGGCAGGTCAAGTTCGAAGATGGGCCACGGTCCACGATATCGTATATACCATTTAACGGTACTCCCGATATTCGGTATTTTGATGATGATAGACACATTTTTCAATATAATTGGCTTAAAATCCGCACAAGTAGTTCCTTGTGAGTACTTTATCCCTTGAGAGAGAATTGTCTATACAGGTCCACGATATCGTATATCCCCCATATAACGGTACCCTCCGATAGTCGGTATTTGGATGATTTTAAGTACATTTTTCAACGGAATTGTCTGAAAATCTACACAAGGAGTTCCTTGTGAGTACTTTACCTCCCAAAATTGTATTGTCTATATAGGTCCACGATATCGTATATCCCCCATATAACGGTACCCCCCGATATTCGGTATTTTGATGACTTTACCCACATTTTTCAACGGAATTGTCTGAAAATCCACCCAAGGAGTTCCTTGCGAGCATTTTACCCCCTCAAAAAGAATTGTCTATATAGTTCCACGATATCGTATATTCCCCATATAACTGTACCCCCCGATATTCGGTATTTTGATGATGTTACCCACATTTTTCAAAAAAATTGTCTTAAAATCCGCACAAGTAGTTCCTTGTGAGTACTTTATCCCTTGAGAGAGAATTGTCTATACAGGTCCATGATATCGTATATCCCCCATATAACGGTACCCTCCGATATTCGGTATTTTGATGATTTTAGGTACATTTTTCAACGGAATTGTCATTTTTCAACGGAATTGTCCACACAAGGAGTTCCTTGTGAGTACTTTATACCTCGGCAGAGAATTATCTATATAGGTCCACGATATGGTAATGGCAAATTTTTCGATTTGGTAAAACTTGGTGCTCCAATAAATATTTTTATACCCTCCACCATAGTATGGAATTGCTTCAAATTTGGTATTTGCACATTTTGGTATAGCTTCCATATAATAGATCCTCCCTTTATTCGGTATTTTGATGATTTTGATGAGGCAGGTCCACGTCGTCGTATAGACTCTAATATAACGACTGAATTCGATATTTTTATGATTTTAACAGAATTTTTAACGGATTTTATTTTTTTTTTGTTTTGAGAATTGCCAATTCCAAATGGTGGAGGGTATTCAAAGTTCGGCCCGGCCGAACTTATATCTT